ACAAATTGTGATTATAAACACTTTTAAAAGGTCTTTTCGGACATAAAAAATCCAGCAATATTTCATTTCAGCATTCTAAACAATGATTGCTTCATAGTTTATAGCTCGCTCGCTCGCTCTCCAAAATTTCAAAAACTCACCAAAACTGCCTCCAATTTAGGTCACCATAATACAAAAAAAGATGTTGAGACTCTAGAAAAAGTGCAGAGAACAAAAATGTGCAGAGAACAAAAAGTGCAGAGAACAAAAATGATTGGGGCTGGAGGCTAAAGCATATGATGAGAAGGATTAGGATTAGGATTGAGGGGCTGTCACAGGGAGGAGGGAATCTCCAAAGCACCTGAGGGTAGGACAAGAAGTAACAGATGGAAGCTTATGAAAGAGAGATCCAACCTAGAACTAATGAGAAATTTCCTGTCAATGAGAACAATTTAATCAGTGGAACAACTTGCTCCCAGAAATTGTGGATGCTCCATCACTGGAGGATTTTAAGAAGAGATTAGATAGCCATTTGTCCAGAATGGTATAGAATCTCCTACTTGAGCAGAAGTTTGATCTAGAACACCTCCAAGGTTCCTTTCAACTCTGTTATTTTGTTTTCTGTATCCCTGAATGTGTAAAACTGGCTATTATTAAAATGTTACATTGACAACCTTACGAGTTCTGTGTATACATCATATATAAACTAATTTACATTCAGATTGTGGAATATACCAACATTTTCTTTTTTTAAGGAAGGGTGAAGGAATTGCAACAAATTCTGTTAGAACAAGTAAGTCAACTTTTGAGCCCAACCCTTCTTCTATGACTCTCTATTCTTTTTATACAAAATCTGCTTCTAATTAGCCCTCTATCATTTAAAATAGCTGCTTCTAAAATTGGTTCTGTAAACCTCCCATCAGTGCTAAACCACATGACTCTGCTTTTCACCAATATGATCTCATGATTCTTTCCCACAGTTTTATGCAACAACCTTAAGTGGGTTTTCTTATTTCAGTAAGCAGATTCCCCCCCACATTTTCCTTCAAGTTCTTGGGGACAGAGCAGGATCTTTGCTTTGTTTTGATGATGGAAAATTACACCTTTATATGGGTAAGTCACTCCAATAATCAAATTGAAGTGATTTATAATAGCACTTACTGTTACTGTTAATTCTGATCTCCAATCACTACAGAAAATTCATCAATCACATATTAAATTCATAATAAAGTTTTAGCATGCTGTGATGCTGTGATTATGCACCATAAATATTATTTGGTAGATAGTTGTACTTTGCAGATGCAGTTGGTCTTTATCTAGGGATAGTTTGCTCTCAGGCATAGTTTCAGCATGTTTCTAGATGAGTATCATTGTCCAATTACCCTTTTATTCTTAGAATTTTATAGGTTGGTTTGTTTTAAGAAAAAAAAGAAACCCTCTCCTTTATTTTTCCACTGTACTTTCATTTTATTCTATCCAAAGAAAACTAGTTAAGAGAGAAATAGGAAATAGCTACATAATGTATTTGTACACATAGCTAATGATCGTATTTTCAAACTCTGTACTTATAAAACATTTTTGTAAAACCTAAACGAAACTTCTTTTATAGTCAGCAACTTGAAGACAATGAATGACTATCCTTATGTTGTAAAATGTATCATACTAACTATATATGAATTAATCACAATGGAATGATCTCCAAAACCCCCCAAAAATGCATAGGAATGAACAGTTTAATTTCACCAAAATATTGACAGTCATTTTATGTATGCCTTAAGGCAGGGGTGTCAAACTCAATTTCATTGAGGACTGCATCAACATTGCGGTTTCCCTTGGGAGGGCGGGTGGGTGTGGCCTTGGTGAATGTGGCCTACTGGGTGGGCATGGCCAGTTCTACATCGTTCGCGTCAAGGGTGCCTGGGCAGGAGGGTCTCTGGCAGAAAGGGGTGGGACCGGGGCAAGTGCCAAGGCATGGTCCATTTCTTCATTCCTCACAAAGGGTGACACCTACCCAGCATGCATGCAGGGGGCGGGGCCAAGATGACAGGGGCTGGTTCCTGGCTGTTTCTGGATGGCCTTGTGGAGCTAAGACTGAATGTGTTTCAGCATAGATGGCCACCACAAAATTGTACATTGGCTCCCGGCTGGCCTGGGCCAGGGCCAAGGCAGTGGGGGCTGTTCCCTCACTGTTTCCAGGATGGCTTTCGTGGGCCACATGAAACCACTTCACGGGCCGCATCCGGCCCCCAGGCCTTGTGTTTGACATGTCTGCCTTAAGGTGAGCATCTTTTCTACTTTGATAACATACCAGGTATCCAACATTACTAGTCCTGGGGTTACGATAGTGATTGAGACTAGAGTTTCCATCACTAAGCAATGTGTTTGTAAAGTGCAATGTCACATGACTGTGCTGCTTAGCGATGGCAATCCCAACAGTCCCCATTGCATCACTAAGTATGGACCACTATAGATGGGTGGGGTGGGTACACGGGAGGGTACAAGTGCAGGCAGGAGCAGGAGCGGATGTGAATGTAGGCAGGTGGGTGCTGCAGAGTACAGGATCCCATTACTATTACTTATTTGAAATATCAAACCACAGTGTTTCCAGTCAATAATGTTTGATCTTCATTTCCTCTTTTATTCCAACATTAATCTTAGGGCCAGGATAAATCTGTTATTTGTTTAACATCAATATGTATTTTGGTTGTTGGTTTTTTTTTAAAAAAGTCAATGGATATATAGAAATGGAAAACTAAATTAACCGAGACAATGGCAGGGGAAAAGAATTAACTTTACGTTTCATGATACGGTCCCTATACCACCTATTAATGGGGGAAAATGCTATCCTGGTCTAACTGGAAGAACTGGAGATCTAAAAGGTGCTTTGCCAAAAGACAACTGGATTTCAGGTTCTTTTCCATGAAAACATTTCGCTTCTCATTCAAGAAGCTTCTTCAGTTCAACACACACGTTCAACATCTGCCACCTCCAGGACGCCTTCGCTTCGGCGAAGCTAGAAGCCGCCGCCACCGCTGCAACTTGAAGTTAATTGTGAGTTTTACTTGTAAGCAGACGAACCAACTTTGGAAGCTTGCTTTTTATTTTTGACTTTACTTTAACTTGGATAATAAGTTTCTCCCCGTACGTGTGTTGGAATGAGGAAAAGTGAAATTAAAATGGCGATGG